TATTGTTTATTTGTTGTGAAGGTGGTACTATTACAAGAGGGTTATTTAAAAATATATCTATATTAAACTGATCAGTTAATTTTGAAAGATCATAATATAAAATACACAAACTTTCTTTTATGAAAATATCTATTAATGCATGAACTTTTGTTATTAATTCACTGACCAATTTATTATATATAACTGTATTATGGTGTCTTGGTGTTGTTAAAGTTGATTGTTGTGTTGGTGTTGTAATCTGTGGGGTAGATGGAGATGGAGATGAAGTCTGTTTATTAGCTTTACTATTTACTGAAAAAGATAAATGGTCAACATGTTTTCTAACTATAATTAAATCTCTATCAATTTCGGCCATTGATGAAGGTGGAGTATCTAAATACATTGTTGGTATAACTGAAAAATTGAAAGAATCCTCCTCTATTAAAAATTTATCTGTTTGAAGCTCAATATATTCTAAATACCACTCTGCCAACTCTTTCTTTTTGCTACCTTGAATATAATAGGGTTTTTTATTATTCATAATTTTATTTTCATATTCTGTTTTTGGTTCGACTGGTGAACTTTTAAATTTTAAAAAAATTGGTAGAACATCATCAAAATATAAATAATCTTCATTATTATCTATATTATTAATATTAACATTCCTATTATTTATATTGCTATTGTTATTATTATTATTAATAATAATATTATTATTAATATTATTATCCATTATTAAATTAATTTCATATGTGAAATAAAAAAAAATATTATCTAAAAATTTAAAAAAAAAAGAAAAAAATTAAATTTATAAAAAAAAATTAAAAAAAAATTAAAAAAAATGATTTGACTTTTGTGACGTCTTAATAAGTATTTGGTAAATAATAAAATATTTTATTTAATTTTTAGTTTAATAAATTTTAATATTTGTTTGATTTGTTTTTGCAAAGGATTTCTATAAATACTGGTACATACTAATTAAATATAAATACAAAAAAAAAAAACTACGAATTGAATTTTTTTCTTTTTAGAAGCTGTGTTACACTATTAATACAATATCTAAAGAAAAAGCTAGTGTTAGATTAAATAAATTATATTAGGTAATATAAAAAAAGGAAAAAATAAAAAAATTACCTAATAAATTTTGTTAATGGTTATGAGATGGGTTTATGAGATGGATTTAAAGTCGTAGGATGGGAATATAAAAATATCGTTTATAATAAATACTATTATATATTTATTTATTTGGTTTGGTTTGATTTGGTTTGATTTGGCTTGTTTATAACCAAAACACCACACACGGGGTCTATTGATAACTGGAAGCATGATAATTATAATAATATGCATTTTGCCAAGAATGTGGTTGTTGTGGAGCAGCTGATGCTTGATAACTTTGTGATGATGAAAGTGATGATGATGCAGTTGAAGTTGATGATGAGCTCAAAACTGGTGAGGTTGAAGGTGACGAAGACAAAGTTGAGCCATCGTCATATGATGATGAATAGTCAAATAAGTAGTTTTGAGAGTTATGTTGTTGTTGTTGGTAATATTCTTGATATTGTTGATAATATGACAATTGTTGGTTATATTGATAGTGTGAATAATATTGTTGTTGTTGATTATAATACTGTGGTTGTGCATAATAATGTGATTGTTGTGGTTGTATATGTTGTTGCTGTTGTTGTTGTTGTTGTTGCTGTTGTGGAAAGTGATTTGGTGCAAGTGGATAGGTTAAATAATTTGGGTGGTGATATGATATTTTTGAGGAGTTTCTATTGTTATTTATAATACGTGAAAATTGGCTTGTTGATTGGGAATTTTTATTATTAAATTTATTATTTTTTGGTGTATAGTTTTTATTACTATTATTGGTGCTACTATTATTAGTATCCGTTTCAACTATTGTTACATATCTTTTTGGTTGTGTTGGTTGTGCATTATTTAATTGTTTATTTTGATTATTACTATTACATTGTTCGTCATTATTTAAAATTTCTTTTTCTTTTTCTTCTTTTTCTTTTTCCTTTTCTTTTTCTAATGTTAATTTTCTAATTTTTTGGTCCAATATATCAATTTTTGATTGTATTGAATTTTTGAAAGCATTAAATATTTCTGCGTCGATGTTCAATTTCCAATTTAATAATAAAAGAAAGTGAATTTCCAATTGGTTCATCTCGGATAAAGAAATTCCACCAACCTGAGCATAATAACGGTTGTTTAAAGCCTTATCATTATGAAACTTTGATGCTACAATTATACTGCCCATAAATAACCTGTGAATATTCAAAGGTGTTATTGCAAGTTCATGATTATTTTGAATTAATCTGTCTAAATAGATAGTTGAAATTATGAATATATCGGTCCCAAATGGTAAATATTTAAACACACGTTGAATATAAGCTTGAATTGATATTTCTGGTACCTGGTCTACGTTAAAAACTTGAAATTTTTCAATTGTTGTTAATGATGATGTAGTTTTACTTGATGGCAAAGTTGATGATGGTGATAATACATCTAATTGTGGTGAATTTGAATCTATATCTTGGCACATATTTACAATAATTTCTGATAAAACACTTAGGAATGATGTATAATGTTTTAAAGTTTCTTCATCGATTGAGATTGGTAAAATTTCTAAAACTACTTCACAACCCTCTTGTTCATTATTTGAATTTTTTTCTTCAAAGGATGATTCAATTTCTTCTTCAGGGCTACAATTGCTTTTACTATCATTTTGGCTGATATTGCTGCTTGTACTATTAATGCTGCTTGCTGCGCCACTTTCACCTAATTGTTCAATTTTTTCTGTTTCTTTTTTATCACCGGAAATAGTTTGTGGTGCGGATGATGATGAAATTGATTTTGATGATTGTTGTTGTTGAAATGGTGGTTGTTGTTGCGATAGTTGTGGTTTATGTTGTTGGTTGGTAATTGCTAATTTATTAAAAAAATTTGTTGTTTCGTCTTCTTTTGAAAATTCTTCACATTTAATTACTATATTATTTGTACTTATACTATTATTACCATTATTATTTTTATTATTACTATGTTTTCTTTTTTGAGAACTATTTTTATTGTTACTATTTTTTCTTTCTTTTTGTTCTACATTTTGTGGCTTGTTTTTATTGCTATTACTGTTTTGTCTTTGTTTTCTATGTGAACCTGCTCCAGTTGGTTTTTGAAGTAAAAGAAGAGATGGTGCTGATATCGATGATGGTAGTGCAGTTAAAAATACTGGTTTGGGTGAAACAGTTTGTGATTTAGAGTACATTATTGATTTTTAACTATTTTAGTATTGTTTTTACTGTTATTATATTTTTTATTTTTTATTATTACAAATACAATGAATATTAATTTTTGCCGGAAAAACTGTTTTTTTGTTTTTTGAAACAAAAATTATTATATTTAAAATCCCCATTATTCTTACCT